CTGCATCTGAGTGTTGCTCTTTTAAGACTTCTGAAAGCATGCTCCACACCTCATCCCTCTCAGCTTTTAGAAAGCACTTAAACCTTCTTGTCCAGTGCTGTAGCTATGTTTAGAAATCTCACATTGATGGTACCTTCTTTGCATTTTGTCAAATCTGCAGTGAAAGTGTTCTTAAATTGAACAACATCTGGTGGGTCATCATCCGAGACTACCATAACATGAAATATATGGCAGAATGCGGGTAAAACTACAGAGCAGGAAACAATTCTCCCCCCAGGAGTTCAGTCACAGATTTAATTAATGCATTATTTTTTTAAACAAGCATCATCAGCATGGAAGCATGTCCTCTGGAATGGTGGCTGAAGTATGAAGGGGCATCTGAATGTTTAGCCCAATGGTTCTCAAACTATTTTCTTTGTGGACTACTTGAAAATTGCTAAGGGTCTCGGCAGACCTCTTAATGATCTTTCCAAATGTTGTTTGTACCGTTAGCTAACTACTGTAAAGTGCTTTGAATAAAAGCGCTATATAAAAAACAATAATAATTAACTTTTTTTGCTCTACAAATAAAAGCACACAACTGAAATTTTCATATCAGTAGTCTTACCTTTCTAATGTGATGGATGTGCCCCCTCTCCCCCGCTGCAGCATCCCCCAAGCTGAGGCTGGGAAGGAGGGGGGGGTCTCTCCCCGGCAGCCGCAGCCCTGGAGCTGGGGAAAGTTGCCTCTTTCTCTGGCCACTGCAGCCCTGCACATTCCAAATTCCTCCCTCCCTCTCGTCTCACCTCACTGCCCCCTCCCACCTACCCCCTACTTCCTCCCAAGGCCACCACCTCACCTTACATGAGCGTCTTCTCCAGGGTCCAGGCACCTAATTAGTGCAGCCACGCCTGCATGGCTCCACTAATTAGGTGGGTGGCCCTTCATTCTCTTGTGTGCGGCCACCCAGGTGCACACCTTAGAGGGAACTATCCGCGGACCACCTGAATGGAGCTAGTGGACCACTAGTGTCCACGGACCACAGTTTGAGAACCTCTGGTGTAGCCTATCTGTCATGTAAATATCTTGCAATGCTGGCTACAAAAGTGCCCTGCAAACACCTGTTCTCACTTTCAGGTGACATTGTAAATAAGAAGTGGGCAGCATTATCTCCTGTAAATGTAAATAAACCTGTTTGTCTTAGTGATTGGCTGAACAAGTAGTAGGACTGAGTGGACCTATAGGCTCTACAGCAGTGGTCCCCAACCTTTTTGTGGCCAGTAGCACATTCATGTTTTCAGAAGAGTGTGGTGGGCACCAACAATTTTTCAAGGCTTATTTTGTATTTGTACATTAAATAATACGAAAAACATCATATTTAATATTACATAATATATGAATCCAGAGAGAAGCCGGAAAGAAGCCGCGAGGACAGAGAACACCAGTGCCCGGCTTCTCTCCCCTGCTGGGCACTAGGCGGGCCCTGTGCCTGCCAGGGACAGAGAACACTGGCGCCTGCAGCCCCAGAGTTCTCTGTCCCCAGCAGGCGCGGGGCCACGGTTTCTCTCCGGCTTAAGCCGCGGCCCTGCGCCTGCCTGGGACTGAGAACACTGGCACCTGCAGCCCCGGAGTTCTCTGTCCCCGGCAGGCGCGGGGCCGCAGCTTCTCTCCCCTGCTGGGCACTAGACGGGCCCCGCGCCTGCCGGGAACAGAACACCATGCCCGCAGCCTGAGTTCTCTGTCCCCGTCAGGTGCAGGGCCGTGGCTTCTCTCCGCTGCTGGGCACTAGGCGGGCGCACATAAATGCCCCGGTGAGCGGCATGGCACCCGCGGGCACCGCGTTGGGGACCACTGCTCTACAGTTTTACATTGTTCTGTTTTTGAATGCAGTTATGTAACAACAACAAAAAATCTACATTTGAAAGTTGCAATTCCATGATACAGAGATTGCACTACAGTACTTGCATGAGGTGAATTGAAAAATACTATTTATTTTGTTTCTTTTTTACAGTGCAAATATTTGTAATCAAAATAATAATCTAAAGTGAGAACTGTACACTTTTGTATTGCTGTAATTGAAATCAATATATTTGAAAATATAGAAAAATATCCAAAAATATTTATAATACATTTCAATTGGTATTCTATTATTTTTTAACAGTGCAATTAATTTTTTTAATCAAGTTAATTAGTTTTGAGTTAATAGCTTGCGTTAACTGTGATTAATTGACAGCCTTAGTTCCTAGTCTTAAAATTCCTTATCAGCATCATTCTGGAAGAAATCTAGATGGCTTTATTGTGCTTGGAGGAAGGGAGCAGCTAACTTTCACAACTATCCTGCTGCCCAAAATCTTGAAGTTGAGGACAGGAGATTGATTGGATGCACAGTGGGAAGGGATGAACCTTTTCAGGGGAGATGAGCAGTCTTTTCAGTCTAGGATTGGTCCCGCTGAACTTTTATTGCTATACTCTCTATACTAACTAACTAGGGGTCTAAAAAGAAAAAAAAATCTTAATCAAGGTTCAAACTGAGTTAGGGTGACCAGCTGTCCCGATTTTATAGGGACAGTCCCGATTTTTGGGTCTTTTTCTTATATAGGCTCCCATTACCACCGCCCCCCCACCCATCCCTGTCCCGATTTTTCACACTTGCCGTCTGGTCACTCTAAACTGAGCTGCTATATACCATTACTTTTCACTGGACTAAGGTACTGTCACTATGCTCTAGGTATTATATCCCTTGCAGTAACTCCCAGTCTCTTGCACTGTTCAGATTCCCCTGGGCTTCCTGCCTTTTCTACTCTCTTACTGAACCAATGCCTCAGCATGATGTTACGTGGCCTATTTTTCTCCGGGAGGTGCCAATTGTCATGTGAGACATAATACAGCTGACTTGATTACTTATCTAATTACAACGAGGTAAGCTGCTGTGCCAAAGTGCAGATCTGGTGGTTGCAATTGCAGGAGTGAATAAATATTACAAAAGGAGAGAAATGGGGAAAAGAAACTGCAGTAATTACAGCATGACAGGAAGAGCTGATAATTCCCCTGGGGGAGGAGAGAAGAAAGTGAGGATCTACACACTGAGGCATCACAGTGATGTAGTGGCAGTCTTTCCCTTGAAGACATGGCCTTAGTCAGGCTATATGTAGAAACAATAGATAGCAGACTTTGTCTACCATACGGAATTTTAGAGAGAAGAAAAACCCCATCAGTGTGCTACCATTGAATTTAGGTGGCAACCTGAGTCTGGTTTTACAACACTCAATTCAATCTGTAGAGGAGCAGGTTTACTTAAATTCATATTAGAAATAGATCGTCCCCCTGTCCACAAGAGCTTTGTTTACCATTGGGCTCCTCTGGAAGCCAATGGTAGCACAGGTGCTGTCTTCTCCCTCACCCATCTAAAACTGCCTAGTTTGGAGGAAGCTTGAAAGCTCTTGTGACAGCGCTAAAGCTTTAATCCTGCTAGCGCTCTGTGGGTGCTTGAGGGTGTCAACAAGGATGTGGACCAAGGGGATCCAGTCGATATAGTGTACTTAGATTTTCAGAAAGCCTTTGACAAGGTCCCTCACCAAAGGCTCTTATGCAAAGTAAGCTGCCACGGGGATAAGGGGGAAGGTGCTCTGATGGATTGGTAACTGGTTAAAAGATAGGAAACAAAGAGTAGGTATAAATGGTCAGTTTTCAGAATGGAGAGAGGTAAATAGTGGTGTCTCCCAGGGGTCTGTTCTGGGACCAGTCCTATTCAATATATTCATAAATGATCTGGAAAAAGGGGTAAACAGTGAGGTGGCAAAATTTGCAGATGCTACAAAATTACTAAATATAGTTAAGACCCAGGCAGACCGTGAAGAGCTACAAAAGGATCTCTCAAAACTGGGTGACTGGGCAACAAAAAGGCAGATGAAATTTAATGTTGAATTACAAAACGTAATCCCAGCTATACATATAAAATGATGGGGTCTAAATTAGCTGATACCACTCAAGAAAGAGATCTTGGAGTCATTGTGGATAGTTCTCTGAAAACATCCACTCAAAATGCAGCAGCAGTCAAAAAAGCAAACAGAATGCTGGGAATAATTAAGAAAGAGATAGATAATAGGACAGAAAATATCATGTTGCCTCTATATAAATCCATGGTACGCCCACATCTTGAATACTGTATGCAGATGTGGTCACTCCATCTCAAAAAAGATATATTGGAATTGGAAAAAGTTCAGAAAAGGGCAACAAAAATGAGTAGGGGTATGGAACGGCTTCCATATGAGGAGAGATTAATAAGACTGGGACTTTTCAGCTTGGAAAAGAGAAGAATAAGGGGAGATATGATTGAGGTCTATAAAATCATGACCGGTGTAGAGAAAGTAGATAAGGAAGTCTTGTGTTATGAGAAGTAATAAACAACAACTAGGGGGTCACCAAATGAAATTAATAAGCAGCAGGTTTAAAACAAATAAAAGGAAGTTTTTCTTCACACAATGCACAGTCAACCTGTGGAACTCCTTGCCAGAGAATGTTGTGAAGGCCAAGAACATAATAGGGTCCAAAAAAAGAACTAGATAAATTCATGGAGGATAGGTCCATCAATGGTTATTAGCCAGGATGGGCAGGAATGGTGTCCCTAGCCTCTGTTTGCCAAAAGCTGGGAATGAGCGACGGGATGGATCACTTGATGATTACCTGTTCTGTTCATTCCCTCTGGGGCACCAGGAATTGGCTACTGTCAGAAGACAGGCTACTGGGCTAGATGGACCTTCGGTCTGACCCAGTAGGGCCATTCTTATGTTCTTATGCCTTGGGCGCACAAGCCCCGTGGTCATAAAGCTCAGCTCAGGTGTGTTTCCAGGATGCCACCCCTGCAACCCTAGCCTTGGTGCCGGGGGAGGTTTTCTCTGCAATCCGGAAAGCTCGCACAGCTTTTGCAAAAGATGGGTGCTGGGTAACACCTGGCTCGGAGCAAGCAGGACCCGGGTCCGTCCAGCCTATGAGCCGCAAGGGAGCTGACCCCTCCCAGGAGAAGGAACCAGCAGAAAATGCCCCTCTTGGAGAAGGGCTGCAATAGGCTGTGTTTTGTCCGTAGGGTTCAACGCGTGGGTCCCCTACAGCCTCGGGACAGGCAACGCGAAGCAGTTACAGGCTCCGGCCGCCGCTCCCTGCCCCGGAGCTTGCACGCAGGGGGCCGGGCCAGCCCCGCGCGGAGGCGCTGGAGGAGGAGGAGCCGGGCCGGAGCAGGGAAGTATCGCGGTGCTGCCGCCGCCAGTCGCTCTCCGAGCGCGGAGGGAGGGAGCCGGGCTCCCGAACGGTGTGCGGGGCGATGGGGTCGCGGGCCCGCCCCACTCCTCCCTGGGCAGCCGGCAGCTGGTGAAGCCCGCAGGGCGCAGACCCGGAGCCCGGGACATGGCAACCGAGCCCCCGCGCCGAGCGCCGCCTCCGCCTGCGGGGCGTCCGGACAGCGGGCAGCGCCGCGCTGGGGACGGGGAGGAGGCCGAGCCGCTGCGGGGCTCCGCGCTCGAACCGTCCAGCCCCTCAGTCGCGGTAGGCGGGGGCAGGCAGGGGCTGCTGAACGGCTGCGTCCCGCTCTCCCACCAAGTGGCCGGGCACATGTACGGCAAGGATAAAGGGGGTGAGTGCGGCCGAGGGCAGCGAGCAGGGCGTGGAGCCCGCCCCTGCCTAGTCGGGGAGCTGACCCTGGGGTGAGGGGAACACACCGGGCCCTGGCTGGCTTCCTTCTTCTCCTTGGAAGGTGGGGTCTGGTTTCCTCTCCTGCGCCATCCCCTGGTGTGATTTGAACCTGGGTCCGGTGCCCGTCCCTCTCTCGCCCCATTACGTTTAATCTTCCTTTTAATTTCCTTTGGGAGTGGATGTGCTGTTCTTTGCTTTGCTATGATCTGAGCCTCCCCTGTATGGTGTCTCTGTGTTCCCCTTTTACCTGTTGGGCTGTGTGAACCCTATGTGGGGTATGGATCTGTTTCCTATCCATATATAGGGATTCCTACTAAGGAAGAAGTTGTGTGAAAGGGGGTGAAATCTGCATTAGCACCTAAGGGGCCAACAAATGTCAGTTTCTCAGTAGAGATTGTTTTTAACTAGAGGCTGTACAAAATTACAGGAGCGATTGCATTGGGATTCTCTAGAGCTTGAGTGTTGGAGATTGTTTCCCAGTGCAGGTTTCACTGGGACGACTGAGTCTGATATTTTCCTTATAACTCTTAGCGTGGTGTAGCTGAATATAATGATGGTATGCATTATGAACGACTAAAGAGAGGTTTTGTTACCATGCAAAATGTATCTTTGTCGTTTGGAAAAATCTGTGGGGGGAGGAGGAGAAGCACCCATACTCGAGTAAAAGAGGAAACAGTCAAATCTCAACAACCAAGGTTTTAATCACATTCATCACCCTACTTTAAACAAGTGTCTTTAAGCAAGTCACCCTTTTGGTGATATGTTGGGAAAAGTTCTGTGCTAGGCAATACAACTGAGGTAATATTAACAGACCCAGCTCAGGAGGTACAAAAGGGTCTGTGGGAAATGTCAGTTGTACATGATTATATAAATGGAAATACAAGTGACTGCAGAGCCTTCCAGATATTAATTTTTTAGCTATTAACTGAGAGGAAATGCCCATTTTTTTGACTGGATGTGCATTTTAATGGATCCCTAATGTTCTGATATCCTCTTTTTAATTGTCGTCCTCCTTCTGGTTTCTGAGATACTGTGGGAGGAAAGTATTCACCAAAAGTATGTGTAGTACTACAGCACTGAAGTTTTAGGTTGCTGGTTAGAAAAAGATATTAGTTGAACCAAAAAAAAAAAGTTTCAGTAAACTGTCTCATAAACTAGATATTAATCTAGTCAGGGAAATTGCTAGTTCAACTGAAGATGTTTTGACTGTCCACTTAAAAGTAGGTTTCATTTAAATAAAATTTGTTTCTCTGCATTGAGCCTCTCTGTAATACAGTTAAATACCTTATCCATCATAGAAAGGTTTAGTTTGCTGGTGTGTTTTTGCAGGGTCCCTCCGCCAAAATATGCAAGCATACAAAACAGTAGCTACTAGAGGAAAAATTTGATAACTATTAAAGTTTTTTCCCCTCATATCTACATATACAAGCAGCCCACAAATTTATGTTTGATAAGTAAACAACATCTGGACCACAAATCTTACCCATTAGACACACCAATTCAGAAAGTCCATGTCTAATATCTTGACCACGGTCTTTCTAAATAACATTGCATAAGTAACTGCAACATTATGTGGTATGGTTCTATTCCAGTTTAAAATATTCATAATTTCTTCTTGTCCTCTGAATACCTGTCCTTCCTCTTTCAGAGGAAACACTTAGCCCAAGTCCACAAAAGTATTGAGGAACCTAGCATTTATTAGTGTCAAGTATTAATAATGTCCATCCTTGTAAAGAACACAGAGAATATTTTATAACTGTTTTCTGACTTGTGTGTGTATGTTTAAAGGGAAAATTAGGGGCGTGATCTTTTTTTATTGAACACTTTCTGTATGATAGATGGGAGTGGTTGGCAAGTCTTATCTGGTAGTGAGCACAAAGTTATGAACAAACTGTAATGGCATTATGACTGTAAATATAAAATTTAATTTATATATTAATTTTGCAGCTTCTCAGCATGAGTCTTTCTTTTCCATGGGTGCAGTGAGCATTAGACTCACAAGGTCAATACATCTAAAATTGTCCCTACTAAAAATGTTTTAGATGGTAAGAAAAAGTATGATCCAGCACATATGATTGTTTTCCGTAACATCTGGCAATAAAAACATCTGGCATTTGTTTGAGTGTAAGGGGATGAATGATTACTTGATATCAGAGGGAACATATTAGTGATCTACCAGTCAGGATGAAAATGTAGTCCTCAAGCTTCCTTGTTGGAGTCCAGGGAGATTATAGTTTGAAGAATGTTTGTAGACATCTGTTTGTCTTCCTTATTCATGGCAGATTGATGGGACTAATCTGTTGACAGGTTTCAAAGTAGGAAAAGAATTTGTCCCCCTATTTCCAGAAGTGATAGTGGGCCATGTTCTTGGCTTATATTTGTAAAATACTTTGAGATTCTTTCAAAGGATCATGTCTTTGTTTTTCAACTTAAGAAATAAGCAAAAGGGGGTGTCTTCTAAAATAAATGTTCAGACTATTTATGTGAAAAATTGGTTTATTTATAATCCCATCAAGGGTATGTATTGGATGTAAAGTGAGAATATTTGTGCAATAACCAAATAAAGTAACTTTCTTGTTTTGGTCATCTGAGCATGCGTAAAGGTGCACACACAGAGAGAAAGTTCCATTGTGTTTTCTATTGGTGGAAGTCAGCTTTTTGACTGCCAACCTGCTTTACTAATTGTTTATAAATGCATTGAGATGTAGATCTTTATTGTGCATGAAACTAAACTATACCAAACCCATTGTGATGTTCCCCTCTGGTGTTATCTAGACCTGTGATCTGCTAGGTCATTTCAATCCTTGACTCGGGGAGCCAACTTTACCCTCATCTGCTGTGAGAACCCCCACTCCTGTGCTATTCACGCACAGCCTCTGGCATGTAAGCTGCTCTTCAGATTGTGCAACCAAATGACGCTAGCCAATATCTCCGGTCCCAGACACAACCCTAGGAACCTCCGTCTTGCAGTGTCCAGTTATGCCCGCTGGACACTGCAAGCTTATATGAGTTTGTCAATTTAACAAAGAAATTGATATGTACCAGGCTTGTTATCCCAAGGGGAGTCTCGGACATGCTTCAAACCAAACGCATTGCTTCAGGTAGAATAAACAAACATATTTATTAACTACAAAGATAAATTTTAAGTGGTTATAAGTCAAAGCATAACAAGTCAGATTTGGTCACATGAAATAAAAGCAGAACACATTCTAAGCTGATCTTAACACTTTCAGTGCCCTTACAAACTTAGATGCTTCTCACCACAGGCTGGCTGGCTGCTCTTCAAATCACCAATTTTAGTAGCCATAAGAATTCTACCATCCCCTGAGATGTCAGGGGCCACCCAGCTTTGTTTGTTTGTTTACCATGTCTCATAAACTTTGAAAGGCTAAACGTCAGAGTCAGAACTTATTCTAGGTACACTTTTTTTTAAACCAACAGCATATTGGTATGTCTGATAACTGCCACTCTATATTTTCTTCTGTTTTTGTATAGAAGAATTTATCTGAAAAGTTAGGAATGAATAAATCCTAGAAAGAAGCTTGTCAGCCCAAAGTGGAATTTTTCTTTTTGATCAGAATGACACTCTTCAGTTTCTGTTCTCTATTAACAAAAATTTAGTAGTGGAGGGATAGAAATCTCCTTAAATGCACAATGTTGTCCTGCCCTGTCCTTGTGATGAGGACAGTTTAATGCAAGCAGTGCAAGCTCTTGGTGAGCTGTAGTCACTTTGAATCTCTCCCTTTTTTCCCCATCTTCTGCCCAACCCGTATCTCTTGACTATGTGCCAAATCAATTAATTTAAGTAAATATAAGATGACTGAGTTGAGAGACTGTAAATTTCTTACACTGTTACTTTGCAACATTGCTATCAGCTAAGCCATAAGGCTGATCTTAGCAAAATAACGCATATGCAGGAAAAAGTGACTAAGCCTTTTAAAACCTACGTTGCCTATTGATTTTTGTTATGGGCATTTGTTGGCTCTTGTTATAGTTAAGTTAAATAGCATGGAAACTTTTTCAAGCATAACCCCTATCCTCCATTTGTGTGTTCATAACTTGCTGAAACCTGAACGTACTCTCCACTAAATGAAAATAGAATTATTTTTGTCTGGCTTAACTCTTAGCTGGAGTTGACTAGCTTTGAAAAATAACATATTATCAGTAACCCTATAAAAAGGAGAGTAGCTTTGTTCTTGTTTATATGCTATTCTATTCTATATAGGTTTTTACACCATGCTGTTCACCATTGTATCTGTGTGTGGTGTTTTTTCTCTCATCCTCTCCTCAGAGGGAGAAGTGAGTGGATGTTATGTTTTGCTAGCTGTTTTGTCAAATATACCTCTTGCTATGTTCATGTTACAGCAGCGAGGTCAAAGAAATGCACCTTCCACTTAGAATGGAAAGTGGTGAGGTTTGTAGTAGTTCTTTGTTCCTGGGGGAGTTCATGCCACAGTCTTGGTCCACCCCTCGAGAAGGTTGTCTCTTGCGCTGATGAGATTTACTCTTGTTGTTCAAGAGTTCCATTGTGCTAAAGGAACGAATGCTGCTCGTAGAAGCAATGTTATTTAATGAACAAGTAGGTTTCTGACCAGGCCACAGTTGAACCGACCAAGTATGAGTCTTGAACAACACACACTGAGGTGAGAGTCCAGCGAAAACTCAAAGATTTGGGCAGCTTTCTTAGACTGATCTGTTGCCTGTGACACCATATGGGTGAAAAGTCTTCTGAAAGCCAGCAAAATTATCCCATGCTATACAATGATAAACTTCTTCCGAGAAGTTCTGACCAATCGCAGGTTTTTCATTTTCCTTGGTGACTAGGTCAGCAGGGTATGCACTCTCAACAATTG